CTAACAGTTATTGTTGGCCTTGCATGTTCATTATTGTGCGGTAGGTATGAAAAGATCGTTGACACTTATTATTTTTTTAATAAAATCTAGGCAACTCAAAATCGGAAGTAAAAAAAATCGACTCATCTCTATTAATATCTTGTCGTCAGACTTTCTGCTGCTGTGGATCAAATGACAACGATTCACAATATGCTCAGGTATGTGCATATTAAAGACTAATGTTGTATACTATTGATTAATTATATATTATTCATAGGAAACATTTACTAATAGTAAAACAATTAAACACGATGATATAAAATACGAACATGTCAACGGTATAGCTCCTGAAGAAAAAGAACTGGTCATGATTTCTTCGTCTCACGTTTGAATATAAGGATTTTTAAAAACGAAAATATTTGACTTGAAACAGAGACAATATCATTTCTTTTGAAGATAGATTTTTTTTTGCCTTCCACGTTTTGTAATTTTTCAAGTGCTCTTTAGTCAATCAGGCATGATCAGAGAAACGAAGTTGATGACTTTGATTAAGTCATTCTAGAAGTTCATTCACAAGAAGAACAAACGTGTATTGTGTCTCGATAATCAGTAAGATAATGAGTTTTCACGTGAAGAAGTTCACAAGAATGCACTCGGTTTTTGTAGCATTTTTCATTGATGACAAACTATACTAGAATGTTTCAATTGAATCGAATATGTCTACTGTTACAAAAAACACTTGCCGTTTGATATTGTGGATCAAAAAAGTGTACGAAAACTATCGTCAATGAAAAGTAAACTCGTTTCGCGTCGTCAACTTTTTCTTTGTACTATGACACAAACAAAAATTGATGTTACGTTTCATTTTTTCTCAATTCTCATAGGTAGCTCGGCTTACTCTCATTCAACATGACCATTTTCTTTTGATGAATGGAGCAATCACACAGTGAAAAATCAAGTTCATATAGTTGAAATTACGTCCAATAGTGCATAGTGTTTGGAAATTTTCGTGATATGATGCCGTTGTAAAGCTTGAACAGCATGATAAAGCACATATAATATATTCAATCGGTTTATTAGCACAATATCAATGATACATAATCCTTACAAACATCATACAACATACATGTTACTCGTACCTTAGTTGACATGGCTTTCTTAAGATATTGTGTATCAGACTTGTCGAAAGTTCTTTATGAATAATTTCAATGTAAGCTTTGTGAGATTTGGTTATTCGTTCACCTACAATGGATATAGTTTATTCACTCTGCAAACTTCGTTTTGATTTTAGTAATAGAACTCTCATCATTTTACTCTCATTTACTCGAAAGGTGAGTAGCTAGTCAAATTAACAGTAGAGTTTGCTCAGTAAGTTTTGTGAGATACTATTGGAAATCAGTGTTCAAATATATTCCTGAAATTGTGAGTCATCCATCTTCTCAATTCACAATCGACGATAGACAGACAATCAAAATGCTTAAGGTTTCTAATGTCAAAGATATTCTCAATAGAATAAGCAGAACTACTTTTCATTCAAGCATTCATCGTGCACTATATACTTTTGACTTTAAATGAGACTGTGTCAATTAGAGCTAGTTTTTGATGGCCTATCCAAATATGTCGCTGATTTAATCGATAAAAGTCGATACCAGATCGAAAAGTAATATACCAGCAAATGTACTCTATTTTTCTCATTGTTTATTGATATTTTCATCTTAATAATTAATATCATTCAAGCTGTCCTCTGGCATTTTGCGTTAAAAACATGCTTAGAAAATTTGCTTTGATATTTCACGCAAAAAATATTTTACTTTATTTAGTTGGAACAATAGCGTAAATGTAATTGACTGTAAGCTAATGTCGTATTTGTATAAAATATGATGTTTCTGAGTGAATCCTTGTAGTTGAATGAATTGTATTTGAGATAAAAGTTACCCTATTATTTATGGTATATTATATAAATAAAAGAATTCCAAAAGGATTGATATCCATCTGCTTGTTCTCTCAATCTATCACCATTTCACGGCACTTTTTTGGACCATACTCTACAGTTCATCAAAAATAACCGAATGTTCAAATTTGAACCTTAAATTTTACAAATAAAGACATTGCGTGGTCCGTATAATAGATCCAAAGTTTTAGCCAAAAAACCTAGCCCTAACTGATATAGTCTTACTTAATATCGAAAGTATATAGTGCACAAGGAACATTTGAACAAAAAGGATTTTTGCTAATGCTACTCCTATCTTGTCTATAATTCGCTATTAAAAACAGTTGAGTATTTCTCATGATCTTGATCCATTTGGATTCTGATAGAGTTTGGACAGTTACATATTTTTTAGCGATTAGTGTGTGCAAGATAGAAGTCAACAAGTTGATTGCATTTCATCATTGCATTTCTGAGACTTGTAATAGTTATATTTGTAGTCAGTCTGATCCATTTGATAATCATAACTAGTTTTGAAGGAAAATGACTAACCTAAACTTGTAGCCCATATCAATCTTGTTCTAGTCATATAGTTATTTTTTGCAAATGTTTTGAAAGAAATAGTGGCCGATAATGCCACTTGTCCTTTGCAGATTACAGATTCATTCATGCTTTCTTTTTTATATAGAGATATCTTGCAATTGTTTCTTTAGTACCAAACAATAATTAAACAAATACTTTTACAGATTTCTCTCTAAGCTATAAGCAAAAATTGAACTTAAATGAAATATATCAAAAAGCGATGATAAAGTTCAAGTTATATTAATTATAACCTTTATTGAGATAGAGATATTTAATAATCAATTGATTCTTTAATAATGTTATCATAGATAGTATATCTTATCTTGAATAAATATGTTGTCTGAGAGTTGAACCATTTAAATACAATAGAAAATTGACTGATAGTGAATATTGTTGACGTAATCTGTAATCTTATCAAGATTTTGTTTAATAGAAATCAATTTTTTTCATGAAATTAAATATAAAGTTATGTGAAAATTTACACATTGAGGATCAACAAATGTTATAAATCTGGCTACTTAATAAAACTTCAGTTTTAAAAATAAATTGATTATGATGATATCACACTGAAGTCATATCTTAATGTATCAAACAGGGTTTTATTTTTCTAGGAAAGCTTTCTACAGTTTTCTTTTCAAAGTAAGAACAACATATTAGTATTCTATTCAGCATGATATCCACTACTGAGCACAACAATCGAGTATTGTTCAAGAATGAGAATGATCTTCTGCAGTTTTTTGTTCTCTCGACATATCTTCACAAAGATAATAATAATCTTTATTATATTAAAATTCTAATTTTTAATGAATATGTTCATATTTAATCCTTAATGATATGAATTTACTGTTGATTCTTTGGCAATAAAAACGATTCTAAAAATTTGTTGAATATATTGATGTTTCATAATAATAATAATAATTATTATTATTATTAATTTTAAATGATATTTAGTATTGTCAAAGTAATATTGTTAATAATCTTTAGGGAAAAAAATTGTTTGTAAATATCAAAATGAATAATTAAAGATCGAATTTATAAATCATATCAAATAAAATATATTTAATTTATTTGCTCGAGTTGTACTTTCGAGAAAAATTGTCTCAAGAGATATTTATATAATATTGACCTTATTCATCCTTGATTCAATATCTGCGATAGTCAAGGTCAGAAATAGAAAGAATAGCAGCGATTGACATAGATTAACTAATCTATTTTTCCTATCTAATAACATCGTCTATATTTTACATGATTAAATTCGATATATTTTTTTTCTAAAGGAATTTTTTTCCTTATGAACATTTATTCATAATTTGAAGTTCAATTAAATGGATTGATTCGTTTGTCATGGCTTTTTTTGTATAATCTATTCTTAGAGTATAATATTAGATCTAAATATTCATTGTTTTATAATGGTTTAATAGATAAACTATATCTTCTGCTGAGAATTGATTTACCTTGATTTTCAATAAGATCCTTAAATTCTGTCATTATGTTAAATGAACTTGGATAATTTATCGTTGTCGAAGTCATTGAAAGTATGAAAAGATAATATCGTTGTTATATCAAATGAGAAATACGTCTCGTTCGAGTTAACACAACAATAACTGTTTGATGATTTAGATTTTTTTTCTTTGTTTTGATTTATATCTAACAAAAATAAAACTATATAATTTTATTTGATATTAATTTTGATAAGATCTCATGACGAACAATAATGATCTAATAACAATTAGTTTATATCTACGTATATTGTATTTCGATGTTTATTAAACAAAAAAAATGATTCATCGAGAAAAAAAAACTAACCTTGATATAATCGACAGTTAAATAGATATTGGATGAATAACTTATTGTTTGATTGATATTATTCTCGCCGCGGTGGCTCAGTCGGTAGAGCGTCAGTCTCATAATCTGAAGGTCGTGAGTTCGATCCTCACCCGGGGCAGATTTCCTTTTTTGCTTCTCTTTGACGTCCTTCTTTATAAATACAATAAACACTAGTTATTTCTAGTTATGTACAAATATTCTTCTTATATGTTGACATTTTTTGTCCAATTATGTAACGAGTTATCAATCATAATCAATCGCTAGTTGTCAACTTTTTCACGGTCTCTCTCATTTGTAAAAGAATTTCTTTTTGAAGAACATAACTGATTTGTATTTTCTTTCTATGCGATGTATTTTATAATGAATATCTAAATATATTTTCTAAAGTTTCAAAGATAAATTTGTTAATATTTGTTAATCAACTTTTATCATCTTTTTTGAAAGAAAAAAACCATTGAAATAGTTGATTTGTTTTTCTTCTTGTAACCATCAAAACAAGATCATCACACACAAGACCAAAAACAAAACGAGAAAAAAAAAGAAATGGTAGAAAAGACAAAGGTATTTCATCATCAGCGTAGAGAGCTTTTTTTAACGAGATAAACACAACAAACAAAACGCCATCTTAAATAAACTGTCATTCAACCAGGAGAGAAAAAAAACTATGAAAACATATATAACTTAATCATTGTTGTTGAGATGGAGGAGCTGAACGAATTTGTTGACGTTGATCATTATTTTGTTGATATTCAGCAGATTTTTGATGTCCATTAGCATAATTATGATAACCACGATTAACAGGACGATAATTACCTCCACGATTACCTTCAGAATATTTCCAATATAAATCGATTTAATTCTATATTATATCTTACCACGATAATGTGGATTAGATCCATGTCTCGCTCGAGTATTTTCATTATATTGTCGTTGATCACTACCATAAGTGTTATCATATCGAAGACCACCTTAAAATAAATAATCAAAGTTAATATGCATTATGTAGATTCATATGAACTATGAATACTCAGACAATACTGAGAGGAACTAAGACATTCATTTAAAATCTTCATGTAAAAGTTAAATATTTTTACAAGAAACAAATTGAAGGCATGAATTATTTTCAGTATATTTAGAATTCATTGTTGTCTACATGAAAGATAGTCTCGACTGGAAAAATAATTTATCACTTGAAAAACTTTCCTCATAAGAAAATTTCACCTCTTCGAGGATCGTGTTGACTCTATTCGAGTTTATGGTTATTGTGATATGTACTATATGTCTATGCTTTCAAATATAAATTTTCGTCTTTTCGACATTTTAAATAAATTCTATAGAATCAAAAATTTCGATAGAACACTAGTCTAATACTTCGAGAAGTGATTGAATTAATTGAAACGAACTGAAAAATATGCTTAAATATAAATGGAAAATAAAATGAAAAAAAAATTAAATTTACGTGGTCCTCCTCTCCATTGTTGAGTATGATTATGAGATCCACCTCGATAATAATTTTTGTTTGCAGTTCCATTATGATATTGTCCCGTTCTTTGTGTAGTTTCATTGCCTCCTTGATGTTGCCATTGTTCATCTGATTGATGTTGTTCATCATTTGAAGTAACAACATTTGTTGACTCTTCTTGTTGTTGATTTTGCATTGATGATGATGATGATGATTGATCAGTAATATCTATAAAATAAAATCAATTAAAATAAATAAAGAAAAAGAAAAAGAAAAGTCGAATTACTTGAATTAACAACAGTAAAGGTTTGTAAATATTGATTTGGATCAGGTGATTGATCTCTAACATTATCTTGTATTTGTTGATTATTTAAATCAACAGGAAGGAAAGGACTATCTTGCATAATTTGTTCAAGTGGAGTATTTTGATTTTTTGTATCAAACTGTAATGGATATTCATCTAAATTTTTATTAGATAATTGAATATCATCTGTTTCATTTATTTGTTTTATTTGTTCATCTTCTTGTTGAATAGTTACACAAGTTGAAAGAGAATTTTTTTCCACATGAACATTTTTTATTAATTGTTCAAGAATTTCTCTAACATCTTGTGGATTTTTTCCTGTAAGATTTTTAATTGTTGATGATGGACCACCATGATAAATTGATAAAAATGTATCAACTGAACGATTTATTGAATTTGATGAATTATCTGATGGGATTATAATAGAAGATAATTCATCTAATAATGATGATTCTTCAGGTTTTAATGACTAAATAAAAATTAAAAAAATTTTTTTTTTTCTAAAAACCAAATATTTCATTTACCGTTGGTCGATTATCAAGTAAATATCGAATTTGTGCATATTCACGTAGACGTTCCGAGATTAATAAACGTTTTTCTTCAGCTGCTTGTCTTGAAAGACGTTTTTGATTTTTTGTTGACTAAAATATTTTTTTTTATTAGAGAAAATTTAAAATGAAAATAAAAAGAAAAAACAAACGTCAGTTTGAATTTTTTTAAATTGTTCACTGAGTTCTTTAACACATTCAATTTGACCAAGAACTTCCGGATATTTGGCCAATGCATCGTTTTGATCTTTATTTAATTCTTTACCATCTTTTGCTTCTTTTTGATAACTTTCCAATTTTTCCTGAGGAAAACGAAGAAAATTAAATTTTTTAGATAAAATAAAAAATATTAATAGAACTAACTTTTCGTTTTCCTAAATTTCGTTGTTTTTTTTCTAAAACAAGAATAGCTTGTGTTATTGGATCAACATTATTTGGATCCATTGATGTTGCTTGTTGTGTTGGTGGTGGTGTAGATTTTCCAGGACTACTTGATGATATTTGTTGTTGTTGTTGTTGTAAATCAGTTACAGAAGGCATTCTCTTCGATTTCAATTTATGTGGATGATCAAGTCAAAAACAAAAATAATACAAAAAAAAATTATTAGTTCTTATTTTTCAAAAATACAATCTAAATCTAAAAAATATGACGCATTTACATCGAAAATTACGTCGAACAAATAGAAAAAAAATAAGTAAATATTGTCCTTACATGGATTCTTATAGAAACTTCAAGGGAAAATAAGGAGGCCAATCGATAAGGACAAATTTATGGTCGTTTTTTTTTAAAGCAGTTCAATTTCATTCTATTTATTTATATTACTACTTATAGAAGTTTATATTCAATTACATATTTTATATTAACAATCGAATGAATCTTATATATATTATGTTTAGTAACAGATGTCCTTATATATCGACAAAAATAACGTCAGTTTTCATATAGAAATATGTCTTAAACTAACAAGTAGACAAGAGTTAATTTATGGTACCAATCCGTTCGAGTGTTTCTACAAGGTTTTTGTTTTTATCGGATTTCAAAAATAACTCATTAGACAAAATAGACTGTTATCTGAAAAAGAATAGTTAATATTTGATAAAATAAAATTGATAGATTTAGTTTCTTCATCATAACAAGAAAAAAAGAAGTTTTTAAACAGCCGTATGTGTGTTGTGAACATGTATACTCAAATGAATATGTACTAACTATAAGTGAAAAAAAATAATAAAATATTTAATATTTAATTATACGAAAATAAAACAAATCCGTTGATGAATAATTTTTTTTCGTTTTTCTGATTTCGAAATGATAAAAATCTTTATGATAATAATAATGAAAGTCTATGTTTTCACCTTATCTTATGCAGGTTTTTTTTTCGTTACCTTTCTGGAAGTACATTTCTTTTGCAATATGTAAAAGGCTTATGATAAATATAAGATAAAAGGAGAAAATATCATAAGGTGTAATCATACTTAAAAGCAACATTAATACAAGAAAAAACAACAATAATTACATATTGACGATAGGAAATATTTCAAAAAAAAAATATCTATAGATATAATTTGGAAAATGATGTTCTACTTCATTTTAATGTGCTATAAATAGAATTCTGCAGGGCATAGATAATATATTCTGTTCTCTCAATGCAGGCAAATTTAGATTACAAAAAGTTTTTTTTAAGCAAGTTTCTATAGTACGAATATCATAACCTATTAGCCCCTATCCTTTAAAAAAGAAAATAAATTTTATCAATGTTAAAAAAGAGCAAATGACATATTGAGGATCAACCTTTTTAGAAACATAGAAATCAACCTGTATAATAGGAAAAAATTGGTTTTGAAAAACGTTTCGCTAGTATTTATTGAGTAGTCGTAGCCATTTGACTAGTATCTTCCATAAATCCTATTCAAACATAGATATACCTATATAGATATCTCAATTCTGTTCGTATAAGATAAATTGTATCAACAGTTAATACAGGCTATTTGTTAGCTTGTCGAACCATAGTTATACCTCTATCATCAAAAACTCTTATATTGACGCGATCTTTGATTTGATATACGATCGTTTAGTGTACATTAAAGAAAAGTGCTTTGAAACGGGTTGCGATCAAATAGGTCCCTCCCCTTCCTTACAGTAATTGAGTACAATAGTTAAGTAAATAAGGAAAAGTGTCTTGTGAAATATTTCATAAACCGATGAATAATTAAGCTTTTTACAAAGCAGCCTAAACACTTACCACTGCTCTCTCGATTGATTCATTTATCATTACACAAGCTATCTTACACATATTTTATTCAATGTATCTTCTATGAAATGACAGTTCGTATACTTTTTAATTTATATAAACCACACAAATGTGAATTACTCATCAATAGATATAAATTAATTTATCAAAATAGGCTTAAAACATCTACTGATATATTTAACACAATACGAAAATAGATTTCTTCGTTTTCTAGTGAACTACTGCAACTCATGATTGATATTTCGACAGATGTTTTACATGATTCATTAAGCAAAAAATATTGTAATGAGTCTAAATCGCTTTTGTATTTTTTTTTCATTTACAGTAAATCATCTCCCGAGTTATGTTATGTGAAGAAATGAGTGACATGTTTAAAAAAAGTCATTTGTGTGGTAAATGAATCGAATTAATTTTCTTTTCTTTCAGTGTACCTTGTCTAAAGACCAAGACTATTATTAATAAAATAGGAACAAATCTATTCAAAATAATATAGATGGATATAATTCGTTGATTTATTTGAAATATCCTGTTGTTGAAATGATTATTTTGAAGAAATTATCAAATCAAACTTGAAAACAGTTTAACGAAGGAAAACTTAGGCTTAGATGAAATCTAATAAAACAATCACTATTGAGCACAAGAATTAGAATGTGAGTGAGGATGAGAATGTACTTCAACTGGACATGGAATATATTAAGAAAAAAAAACATCAATATTCATCGATGAATTCATTGTATTATTCATCGGTGCTATTTTTTTCCGACAATCATTTATTCAGTCTATTCAATAACGATACTCAATAGAAAAAAAAACAATGAATATATGTTATGTATAACATTAGTCAAAATGAATATGAATCGATCAAATATCACCGTTGTTGAACTACCTAATGAAATATTATTTAACATATTGAAGAGATTTGACAATATGGATGTTGACAATCAACGACTTAATATGACAGTAAAAGACAAATCGTTTACTACGAGCACTGTTAGAGTTAAAACTAGTCCGACTATAACTCGAGTTATAACGTTTGAGTTATGACTATCAACTGTGGTTATAACTATCAACTACAGTTATAACCTTCAACCATAGTTATAACTATCAACTATCTTGACTTTTCGACTTTGTCAGTAAATTTTATTGACTCGAAATAATAATCCTGGTGAGTTCATTGACATCCTTGATAAAATTAATCAAATATATAGAATTCATTATTCATTGCCTTTAAAAAAAAGAGCATATTTAGATTTCTCTGAATGTTTTGTTTTCATGCATTTATCTACATGCTATGTTTTCTTGTATTATATGCCCACCACAAATGCATGTGTTACATAATATATACGGTTTGTTGTAAAATCAATAATAGTATTGAAACTGTGAGCATCAATGAATTGTATTTAAATACTGAAACAACTCCATTCTATACCTTATTCTTTATTATGTCACTCATGTACAATTGATGTTGTAAATTTATACAA